GTTAATATTAGTATACCTGCAGCCGTATCTACCGGAGGGGTTGTTAGCATGAAGCTCACGGGAAAATCGTCCCAACCGCTCCATTTACTCGTCCACCGCCGCGCTAGTAATTTGCCGCGTAGGCCTTTTCGCGAAGCCTTCAGATGCCCTACATTTTATTTTTTCCCCACATTCTCGCAGATACCATACATTTTATTTTTTCACCATTCTCCACTACTTAATACCCCTGTTATCATGTTAGACTGAGTATTAAATTATCGTGTCGTTCAATTACACGTCATTATAATTATTTTCAAGTGTCTCCACTCAGTCAAACATCTGGGACGGTAGTAATGTGGCACAAACTGGCAGTTTACAGGTAACCATCAGCTCGCGGTAAGGTCGAGGTAGAACAATTGCCACATATGCTATAGAGTGCCTCCCGACTCCAAAACGCCTATTCCAGGGACTTTATCAAAAAAGGTCGAGGTTAGGTGGTCGTTACCACGACCTGAGGTGAACATTGCTATCCTCCGTTGAACTGCGACGTCATAATGTCGCACTTGAGTTCTCAACCACGAGGGTGGAGAGAGTGGGAGAGATGACGCGAAACGGAGAGACGCAGATAGTTGTCGTTCTATGCAGTTCAAAGATGGCCATCTCTATAGTGCGAGTTAGGGGGTTTTTTCAACAAAACTTTCAAGTCCAGAAATGCTTAGATCACAGGTCTAGGTATAACGGGGAGGACAAAAGCAAGTGGTAGAGTTGGTGGCCCGGGAATGTCAATCGAGATATGAGGAGAGTGCGGCCATCCATTGCATAGTTGAAGAGAAATTTTGGAAAAAGTGCAACATTTTCCAGTAAAACGCGTATAGGGGTTCGGTAGAGGTCTTCGTGCAAAAGTTACAAAAAGAGCTACTTCGAACAAAATTTTTTAAGTAGTTTGAAAAAGAAAAGTGCATAACTCTTCGCTATGTTTCAGTCAGGCTGCGTTTATACTTTGCGGCAGCGTAGCGTAGCGTAGCGCAGCGTAGCGTAGCGCTTCCAGCGTACGCCAGCGGCAGTGCCGAAGAGAGGATGCATATCGATCTAGCTTCACCAGCGTCACCAGCGGCACGCTGGCGTACGCTAGCGGCACGCTAGCGTACGCCAGCGTTTCTCCAGCGTTTCACCAGCGTTTTGCTAGCGTTTGCAGCGGCAGGGGAGTAGAGACTATGGGAGAGCTGGAGGGTACAAAACACATCGATTGCGCGTCTCTCACTCGCCCTTAGTCTCTACAATGCACATCGCTTCTGCGTCTTCGACGGCCACATAGTCTCTACAATGCACATCGCTTCTGCGTCTTCGACGGGCACATAGTCTCTACAATGCACATCGCTTCTGCGTCTCCGACGGCCACATAGTCTCTACTCCCTGCCGCTGCAAGCGCTAGCAAAACGCTGGTGCCGCTGGAGAAACGCTCGAGAAACGCTGGTGAAGCTAGATCGATAGCTATGCTTCCCGTGCCCTCGCTACGCCAGCGTGCGCTAGCGTGCCGCTGGCGTACGCTAGCGTACGCCAGCGTGCCGCTGGTGACGCTGGTGAAGCTAGATCGATATGCATCCTCTCTTCGGCACTGCCGCTGGCGTACGCTGGAAGCGCTACGCTACGCTGCGCTACGCTACGCTACGCTGCCGCAAAGTATAAACGCAGTCACTCATAGCTTGTTACCAGGGACCACCGCCAAAGTCAGAATACTAGTGATAGCGTAGCGACAATTATACGCGCTACCACTTGCATGGTGGCGAGATCGATACCGACCGCCGAGCGAAATTTTGCAAATAGCCTAGCGAAGCTCGTTGTTTCCAGCGTGGTTGTCTCGCTCATACGTCGCTCGTTGTTCTGCATAACTGCGAGCAACTCATCACATTTGATTGCGAAGATATAGGTAGATTACTACCGTCCCAGGAATCACTCATACATCAGAATGCATCAGAAATTGCAGTGAAAGACAACACTATCACTGAGTACATTGGCTCATAACATTATTTTTTTGTCTATGTACCCAACAATTAAGCAACATACCTTGTTATATCCATATAATATCTCGTAACCGAGTTTATTCATCAACTCCAAGGTTCTAGGCACATGCCTCATGAACATCAATCGTGAAGTTGAATCAAAAGCCAGGATATCGATTGAGTAGCGCTTTGGCTTTTCTTTGATGACTGACTGCTTTTTCCGTGGTCCACCGAATTTGTCAAACGATTCCGTGTCCTCCGTTAGGAAAATCGGAAATGGGTGAGGTTCATACGTCTACTTGTGTTTTCAGAGGGCTATTTTAATATAACCTTGTTTTTCTCTTTATGCAAATCTCTCATCCCTGCAAAAGATTTCTGAAATACTTGTTTATCCTTTTGATGGCAACGAATGTAAAAAGCATCAGCGTTGACGAAGAATCGAGCATTCTCTGGTGCCTGAAATTAGGTACGTGCCGGTTGTGACTTCTAAACATCTCGAAAAGGGAATGGAATACTGAAAATTGTGAAGCCACGATGATATTTATGTTTACTTAATAATGTCAGCAGGTAGGGGTGCATTGAAGCAGGGCGAAATTTCCGCAAAGAGCGCGCTACCGCCCTCCCCTCACCCAAAACTTCGTCTTCTGGTACGACCTCTTTCGCATCCTGCGCATCATCTTACACGGTGGAGGTTGATGAACGCTGGCAGACACTAGACCGATGACCTTACTATCCTAGTCCCTCGAGACGCTGATGGTCGCTGGTGGGCGCTGGTAGACGCTGCCGCTCGCTAGATCGATGTCCATACTTTCCTAGTCGCTGCTGGTCGCTGATAAACGCTGGTTGACGCTGCCGCGAAGTGTGAAAGCAGCCTAGCCAAGGCTCGGTAGAGGCGGGCCAGTAAAAGACAGGAAAAGATGGTGCGCCTCGAAAAAGGCACGACAGCTACCACTGTGGACCAGGTTGCTTGCTCAGGGAGAAGAGCGGCTCCGCATCTAATCGCGGAGCACATCTTCAGACTCTGAGAAAAGTGTAGAAGAACGAGCTAACCTCAACACTGCCCACTTCAGCAAATTGACTGGCTCCTTGATTGGTCGAACTGTTTCGTATTCCTCCTTCAAGGAATATAACCTAAACAGTGAACGTGAACTGTATCCTGAGCCGATTCTAGAAACATTTCTCGCCCACCTTGCACTTCACGTCGGTGGTAACATTTGGATATCTTGTGAAATGTGGATGAACATACATGTGTCCTTCGCTATCCATTGTGGCAAAGTCAACATCTTCATAGGGGCACTTCAGCTGTCGAAGGCGTTCACTGAGACGCCATTCCTGAAAGTAATTTACTCAGTGACAGTTTCAGATTCTTTTTCTACCGGGTCAAGCTCTAAACCTTCTGAACAAACGTAGGAAACGCCTTCGTATCCACATCCCACTGAAAAACAAGTTTTTATTCCCCACATATCAGTTGGACAGTCGATGCTCTTTCCGCAAAGCCTACTAAACATTGTGAGGTAGACAAAAGCGAATTCAAAAAAGCTCAAAAGCGGAAACAATCGAAATGTGGCAGCTGGGGCCGCAATGGATGAGAAATTGTGAGCCAGAAGCTGGCAACTTGACCACTTAGGAGATTATTTCTTCAAAGGCAATTCAATTAGCGAGTGGAGAGTTGGTGAGGTTAGTGTAGCCAAAGTTCTTTGGTTTACGGGTTTCCTGGGTGTGCTTATCAACTAAAGATTTCGGGACAAAGCTTGCAGAGTTGAGACCGCTACGCGGAGAGCAATCGTTTCACGTCATGTCCGGTACTGTAATCCCAGCCACTCTTTTCCATCTATTAGTTACGTGGTCCGAGGTACTCAGCCTCGTCCGATCTCGTCGCGATCAATATCAATCAAAGTCGAATTGCGCGGCAACTCCTAGGTATAAATTCTCAGGTAAGACGTCCGATTGGCTATAGTTCTGCTGGATTTCTGTGGTGGCCATTCATCTGTCCATTCTTCCCCGTTTCTTTGAAGTTTCCATCACTAGCCATCTATCGATCCTTTGACTTGGTTCTCAGACCCTCTACTTCTTCTCCACTGATTCTGTGGCTAACAATCCCACAAGTATTTATTCAGGTTTCAGTTTTTATTCGGGTCGTCCGTATATTCTTGTGCCTCGATCCCAGTTTTCTTTGGTTCCCTTAGAAAGCTTATTTAGTCTTTCATTTATTAGAGGTCTCCTCTGCTGCCGTTACCGAATCCTTTCGAATGAACGTTCTCTCTTTTAGTCTTTCTGCTGGCTGCCCTTTGCTCAAGACATACTTCTTCCAAATGGATTCACGGTATCACGCGGTTCAACGTCCACTGCTGAGAAACTCCCAACACTGTGATTATTTTATTAATTAGCACAAAAAAGGCGTGGCAACACATGAAGGGGACAAAAAGAGGTAGAAACAGTCGTAATTCACGTGAAATTTAAACATTTGCCCCTGTTTTTCATCGCCATGGTTGGCAAAACTCCCATTGAATTAGGTCGTCTGTCCATTTGACCGACAATTCTGAACTGAAACTAGCCCAACCGAGTCAGTCTGTTGGTCGAGCACGTGTGTAAGTCTCCTTTTCGAATGGGATTTGTATATTGAACATAACTCGAAATGTAATTGATTAGAACCGACTTCAAGTCTAGGATCTTTGGAAGCGCAAAATTCATAGAAAAGCTTACCGCAACATCCCTTGCGTAAGTGTTGGGCAGAGGAAATTTGCAACTGTTATCAAACGGATGGAATAGCAGCCGATTTTGATTGGCCTCGCTAGGCTCCTCTTCATATTCGTCTGCTTCTGACTTATCATACCGTTCTATCTGCTTTAGGACGGTGCTCGATATACGGAGCGACGACAGCCGATTAGTTCCAATCACGGCCAAGGCTGCCATCGCACATATGAGAGCCTGAATGCGAATTGATTTATTTGTTTGTCCAGCGGTTCAAACTGAAGCCATGGCGTTGATGAAGAAGTGCTTTTTTATGGACATAAGGAAACAAATCCTACTACATATAATCGGCTATGTTTGT